AGAGAAGCTTTTTCTGTCTTTAGTAGGAATAAGACCAGTGACAACTGGAGCACTTTTTAGAAAAATTTTTATAAGAATTTATTTGAACCTGGCTGGAATGGCTTAGTGGTTGAGCGTCAACCTATGAACTAGGAGGTCTCAGTTCAATTCCCACTCTGGGTATATGGTGAGGTTGCGGGCTTGATCCCCAGTAGGGGTTGTGCAGGAGGCAGCTGATCAATGATTCTCTCTCATCATTGATGTTTCCTATCTCTCTCTCCCTCTTCCTTCCTTTTTAAAATCAATAAAAATGTATTATATATTAAAAAAAATTTATTTGAGCCAAACTGACAACATGCTGGAGAGCAAGATCTCAAATGTTCCTTGGAGCACTTTGGAAAGATAGAAATAATGACTCCATATGAAAAATAAAGCTGGCTACAACTAAAGGACCTACTCTTTAATTCTTCATCATGTACCAAAGGGTAACAACTACTAGTATGCATATGTGTAACAGATAAAATTCCCACAAAAGAGAATTTGAATAAGCATACATAATCTGTTGGTGCCAAAAAAATTTAAATCACTCTATTATCTCTATGTCAGGAATATGTATCAACTTTCCCTTATAGATCCTAGAATATTTCCTCATGCTTAACAATATTCAGAAATGTCAGCAAACTATGGTTATATTTTTAAAACTAAAAAGTCCTTATCTTACAGATACATACTAATATATGGGATTTGCTTTAAAAAAAATTCAGGAGTAGGTGGATGTAGAGATGAATAAGACTGGCCATGTGTTGATGATTCTTGAAGCTGAGTATGGGTGCTTACACTATAGTATTTTCTTTATTTTTGTGTAAATTTGAAATTTCTATACTAAAATGCTTTTAAAATTACCAAGAGAGGTTGATTGTCTTTTCCAGAAGTGTTTAAGACAAGGTACACTATTTAGATGATTAGGATTGGATTATATGTTTGCCCAAGAGCATTGTAAATCATATGAAGAATCTTTCATACATTCCCCAAGATAAAATAACTACCCTTCCTTTCTCTCTAGATGCAATTCTTTTCTTTTTTTTATGCAATTCTTATTTAACCTTCAAGACCACAGACCATTTTTTAAAACTTATTTCTTCAAATTCATAGCGGTCCCCTGAATCGAAAGTACTTCCTAACCATGCCATTCAGCACTTCTTAGATTTTGCCATATAAGTTATCTCTTTACCTATATACTAGAGGCCCAGTGCACGAAATTGTGCACGGTTAGGGTCCCTAGGCCTGGCCAGCGATCAGGGCTGATGGGGGCCTTTGTTCCCCCGGCTACCAGCTGCCAGCTGCGGCCTTCCTTCATTCCGCGCTGCCCCCTGGTGGTCAGTGTACATCATAGCAAGCAGTCAAACTCCTGGTCAGTCGCACTCCGAGGGGGAAATTTGCATATTAACCTTTTATTATATACTAGAGGCCCAGTGCATGAAATTCATGCACTGGGGGGTGGGGTTCCCTCAGCCCAGCCTGCCCCTCTCACAGTCCGGGAGCCCTCAGTGGATGTCCTACTGATGGCCACAGTTTGGCAGCAGAGGCTCGGAGCAGGTGTCCTGTGTGTGTGTGTGTGTGTGTGTGTGCGCACGTGTGTGTCTGCTGGGGGCCTGCCACACTATGGAGGCTTGGAGCAGGAGCCCCTCTATGTTAATCTCTCAGGCTCCTGGCCTCCACTGCATATTGAGCTATGGCCAGGATGGGGGTGCTGCTTGCAAGCCGGGCTTTCCTGCTCCCGGATCGCCATGGCGACCGGGGAGCAGGCCCAGCTGGGGGTTGCCCATAGGCCAGGCTTGCTTTCCTGCTCCCAGATCCTCATAGCGACCGGGGAGAAGGTGCAACTGGGGGCTGCCCGCAGGCCGGGCTTGCTTTCCTGCTCCCGGATCAGGCGCAGCTGGGGGCTGCCTACAGGCCGCACTTTTCTACTTACCGATGGCCGGATCACCACAGTGACCCAGGGCCCAGCGGCACTTTCCTGCTCTCCAATAGTCATAGGGTCCCGGCTGGGGGCGGAGCTTAGCAGTGCGGGGCTTAGGTGGTACGGGGGTCCCTGCTGGGGGCTCAGGTGGCACACAGGGGTCCCAGCTGGGGGTGGGGCTTATGCCCCACTGCCCAGGGCTGCACATGGGGTCCGGACGGCAGCACGCGCTCTCCCGCCCTGCCTGTAGTATAGGATAGAGGCCTGGTGCACGGGTGGGGGCCGGCTGGTTTGCCCTGAAGGTGTCCCAGATCAGGGTGGGGGTCCCGCTTGGGTGCCTGGCCAGTCTGGGTGAGGGCCTGAGGGCCGTTTTCAGGCTGGAGGGCAACTTAAGCTCCTAGCCTCTCCGTTTTTTCTTTTTTTTTTCATTCTGGGATTTATTTACCTTCTATAGCTGTCACTGGAGCTGAGAGCCGGCTCCAGCTCTGAGGGCTGAAAGCAGGTTCTGGGTCTGTTTGGCTTCTATAATTGAAACTCTGTTGCCATCACAGCAGCTCTAAGCTCTGAGGCCTGGCTGGCTGAAAGCAGGTTTCTGGAGCTTGTTTAGCTTCTATAATTGCAACATAGTTGCTTAACGTGCAGCTCAGAGCTGGGCTGCGGCAGGCGGGGAACCTTGGCTTCCTCCATCGCTACAGCAAGCAAGCCTCCTGTTCACTTCAGCTGCGTGGCTGCTGGCCGCCATCTTGGTTGGCAGTTAATTTGCATATCCTGCTGATTAGCCAATGGGAAGGGTGTCGGGGTTATGGTCAATTTGCATGTTTCTCTTTTATTAGATAGGACTAGAGGCCCAGTGAATGACATTGTTGCACAGTGGCAGGGGGCGGGGGGGTGCGCAAGGGGGTCCTCAGCCAGGCCTGCGCCCTCTCGCATTCCGGGACCCCTTGGGTGATGTCTGCTGAGGGGTCCTTAGCGCTGCTACAGAGGCAGGAGAGGCTCCTGTCACTGCCGCTTCACTCCCCAGCCGTGAGCCCAGCTTCTGGCTGAGCGGCACTCCCCCTGTGGGAGCACACTGACCACCAGGGGGCAGCTCTTGCGTTGAGCGTCTGCCCCCTGGTGGTCAGTGCATGTCATAGTGACCGGTTGTTCCACCGTTTGGTCTATTTGCATATTAGCCTTTTATTATATAGGATAGGATATGTATTTTTGGTTTGCGCAGCTAGACTGCAAGCTCTATGGTAATGGTAACAATGTGTTATATTTCTTCCAACACCTTTATAATAAAAATATATAGTATAAAAATAGGTAGTTAATGCCAGTTGATTCAGTGACCCCACTTCTAGGAATATATCCTAAGAAGCCTGAAACACCAATCAGAAAGAATATATGCACCCCTATGTTCACAGCAGCATTATTTACAATAGCTAAGATCTGGAAACAGCAAAGTGCCCATCAATGGAAAACTATGCAGCTGTAAAAAAGAAGGATCTCTTACCCTTTGAGACAGCATGGAGGGACCTGGAGAGAACTTTGCTAAGTGAAATAAGTCCATCAGAGAAAGACAAGTATCACATGATCTCATTTATATGTGAACTCTAATAAACAAAATAAACTGACCGAAAAAGTAGACCCAGAGACATTGAAGCATGCAACAGACTAACATATTTCTGAGGGAATTGGGGTGGGGAGAGATTAATCAAAGAACTTATATACATACTAGAGGCCCGGGGCACAAAATTCGTGCACGGGGGTGGAGGGGTCCCTCAGCCTGGCCTGCATCCTCTTGCAATCCGGAACCCCTCGGGGGATGTCAGGCCTAAACCAGCAGTCAGACATTCCTCTCGCAATCCGGAACGCTGCATGCACCAGTGACCATACTTTTCATACAGGTGAAAGGCATCTTACTGTTGTATGGGCAGCTACATTTTTTTGCCTTGATTATAAAAAGTAGTATATAACATGATCCTTCTGAGGCAGTAGTACCATTTTCCCCATCTTATGGGTGGAAAAACTGAAGCAGAGAGAAGTTAAGTAGTTGGCTTTGTCACATAGTTATAAGTATCAGAATCAGGGCTGACCACAAAATGTGCAAGCCACAGTCCATGCATGTCATCGCTGCATCATTCTGTTTTTTTTTTCAGTGTTAGAGTAGCCTTGCCAAGTTTTAATTTTTAAACCTAAGAGACTGTTCCCAATATATAGAGAAGGGTCCCTAGGCCTGGCCAGTGATCAGGGCCATCTGTGGGGTGACGGGAGGGCAGGGTGACCAGGGGGGCCCCCACTGGCACTTGCCTTGGCTGGCAGCCTGGCGCCGCCCACTCACCGGCCCCGCCCCCTATCGCCACAGCTGGTCGCCTCCCTCTGGGGGAGGGGGACAGACACTCAATTGAGCATCTGCCCCCTGGTGGTCAGTGTGTGTCATAGCAACCTGTTGTTCTGCCACTTTGTTCCACCGTTTGGTCGATTTGCATATTAGGGTTTTATTATATAGGATATGCATATATGCATAACCCAGGGACACAGACAATAGTGGGGTGAAGGCCTGGGGAGGGAGACAGTCAATGTGGGGGGAAGAGGATACCTGCAATACTTTCAACAATAAAGATAAATTTTTTTAAAAAAGCACACACACAGAAAAAAAAGAATAGTTAATATACTTTTTATTTTAATAGATTAAGCTTGATAATTTGTCCACCCATGACAGTTCAGAGAGATTCTAATAGGAATACTTTTATAGTTACCTTGCCTAATCTCCTTTGACTCTAACTACACTGTCTTTTGGTAAACATGTACCAGGGCCCTGTACTAAACAGTATGGATAAATAAAATAAGGGAGCCATGTAACTTACCCTCAAAAAGCTAACAGTGGAAAAGAGGGGAAAAGATAAGGAAATAGCTAATTGTAATAAGTACTGAAATGACAAATATAGCACTCATTACATTATTATAGAGATGATAATTTGGCCAACTCTGAGATTAACTTGCCTGTACTAAGCAAGCATAAGTTATAATTTCCCCACTCTTTAAACTTCTCCAATTTTTCAGAATATCATTAGTCACTTACCCTTGTTGCACAGGCTGTAACTGCAAGATCACTTGGGTTTTAGTGTCTTCAGGGTTCTCCCCATCATTTCCTTCAGTGGGTACCACAACCACATCCCCCACTGGGACACTCACTTCTGCATTAGCCATCTTTCACATGAAGTCAGATAGCTGAAGCTGCTGTCAGAAACAAGAAGCACCAGTAACTTCGTCTGGTTTAAAAAGATGGCAACCATAGGAAAGGAAAACCAAGATAACTACCAGATCCAAGGGCACTGTGGAGATCATGGTTCTCTGAAAAGGATGGGAACGTGAGATGGGGCTGACATAGGCTCCGATCATTCTAGAAATATCTCAGTATTCACTTGCTATTGTAGGCTTTCCTAAATATGAATGATTCATTCAATGGCATCTCTATCAGCTCTACAAGATCCTAAGAACCAATTGTGTATATCACTTTCCAACTCCATGTTTAGTGACATTTTAAGTTGATAACTTAAAATCAGTGATGCTGGAAGTATATACACCACAGAAATTGGCAAACACTACAAATCAGAATGTGTGTTTTTCCTAGGGAGCTGGTTTATAGCACACCACTAGTTCCATCCCAAATAGCAAGCTGCTAGAAAGTAGGAATAGGAATCTATTTTTTTAAAATATATTTTTATTGATTTCAGAGAGGAAGGGAGAGGGAGAGAGAGATAGAAACATCAATGATGAGACAGAATCACTGATTGGCTGCCTCCTGCACACCCCCTACTGGGGATCAAGCCTGCAACCCGGGAATGTGCCCTTGACCAGAATGGAACCTGGGACCCTTCAGTCCGTAGCCCAACACTCTATCCACTGAGCCAAACCAGGTAGGGCTGGAATCTATTTTCTTTGCAACCAGCCATTATACTTCATCAAGTGCTCTGTCTTTTGTGAGTACTTAATAAGTATGTGCTGCCCTACCTGATTTGGCTCAGTGGATAGAGCGTCAGCCTGTGGACTAAAAGTCCTGGGTTCGATTCCAGTCAAGGGCACATGCCTGGGTTGCGGGTTTGATCCCCAATACGGGGTGTGCAGGAGGCAGCCAATCAATGATTCCCATCACTGATGTTTCTGTCTCTCTCTCCCTGTCCCTTCCTCTCTAAAATCAATAAAAATGTGTTTTATTAAATAAGTATCTGCTGACTAACTGAACTAAGCTTATAAGAAGAAAAAGATAACTTGCAGTGTGTAGTTGTTTAATAAATGCTGAATCCAATTTTATGACCTCTAGAACATTTTTTTTTTTTTTGGTGCCCTCTCTGAAGCTAGAACTTCTAAATATCTTTCTGCCTCCGACTGAATGGAGAAATAATCTCACCTGACATCTCCCTTGCAGAACTGTTGAGGAGACCAGTGTCCAGCACCACATGCTCCTCAACTCTAAAGTAACTCAAAGCATTGTCCCAGCCTTAATGAAAACTCAGAGGGCCACAGGATATTCTGCAGTTAGTCTTCACAGTTGAAAAGGAAAGAGAGAGTAATTTAAGAGAAAATGAATAGGACGACTGTATTTACTTAGACACGTAGGTGAGGATGACTAGGGCTGTGCTGAATGGAGCAGGCACACAATGGATGCAAGTTTGAATATGTAACTGGTAGTCAGATGATTGAAACTGTATTTCAGCTCTGCCACAGCATTTGTTTGCCTGTAATACACATCCTTAAGCATGGTACTCAGTCTATTTGACCCCAAAATACTTTTCCAGTCTTATCTGTAACTCTAATACCCTAAGAATCCTAAACTCCAGCCCTACCAACAACCCACTGTATTCTGAACATATAATATGAACTTTCAGGTTTTTATACTTTGTTATTCCTTATGTCCAAAACTCCTTTCTCCTTCTCTCCTTCCCCTTTCAGGCCCAGTTGAAAGATCACTCCTCCACATAGTCATTGACAAACCATTTTCTTTTCTGAAGTGCCTCAAACTTGGTTTGTAGCTGTCCTCTAGTATTTACCCACCCTGTGTCGTGTATTGCAGTTAATTGAATGGGCATCTATACTCATAACCATACCGTACTGTCAGGACACAGGCTGTTTATATATAAAAATAATTTTCTCGCCCTAACCGGTTTGGCTCAGTGGATAGAGCATCTGCCTGCGGACTGAAAGGTCCCAGGTTCGATTCCGGTCAAGGGCACATGCCGGGGTCCAACCCCAGCGGGTCCAGGGGTCCCCAAAGGTGTGGACGGAGTCGGCAAAGAAGGAATGACATGGAGGCAGCGTTCAGTTGATCAGCAGCCTAGCCAGGATCTCCAGCCAGGATCTCCAGCCAAGTTCTGGTCTGGATCTCCAGAGAGGTTCTGCTTCAGATCTCCAGCCAGGTTCTGTGTCCATGTTCTCTTGCTAGGTTCTCCAGCCAGGTTCAGTCCAGGTTCTCCAGCCAGGTTCAGTCACCAGGTTCTAGTCAGGTTCTCTTGCCCATTTCTGTAGTCAGGTTCAGTCCAGGATCTTTTGCCATGTTCTCTCCAGCGAAGTTCTTCTGTCTCTAGTTCTGTCTCTTGCTGTCTTATTGCATCTGTATTTATACCAGTTGATTCAATCCTATCAATCTCTATTACAAAGGTTAGGGCGTTTCTTATCTTCATTCCAGGGAGTAAAGATTATGTAGCTTAAGCATGATTGTTCCTAGTTAAAGTGATTAATTACCCACCTGGCACTAGTTAAGAGGTTTTATTCCCACCTTAACTTCAGGGGAAAATCCCTACCTGGGGAAACAACCTTTCTCAGAGAGGAGACCTTGGTTAAAACACATAGTGCCAAGAAGGTGAGCAAACATATTAAGAACAGTATGCCATATGTGCCAGGTCCCTTGAAACAGCAAGCATGGACCGGCTCCCGGCAAATTCCCCCTTTTTTATTTTTTAAAAGCAGGCATTAAAAAGAAAAACCCCAAATGCTCTCTTGTATCCATTTTAAGAGTAGGATTGGCGCTTTCCGCTATTACCTGAGTCCTGATCTATCACCCCAGGGAGATCTTGCCAATCCTGCACTTTACCGGGTGGAAAGGCTGCAGTGGGGTTAAGGATAAGGCTCCTTGGGCCTACCTTCTCCCATGCCATTACATTTACCTTTCCTTCCTCAGAAAAGCATGGACATACTTCTTGTATAAAACGTTCTGTCTGACTGGGAGTAACCTTAATTCCTCTGCTAGCAAGCATATGTGTTAAAAGATCAATACAGAGTCATTTCTTTAGACTCAGTAAGGTACATCCTCTTAATCTAAAGATCAATACAGAGTCTTCTTTCTTTGGACTCAGTATGGCACATCTTCTCAATCTAAGAATCAATACAGAGTCTTCTTTCTTTGGACTCAGTATGGCACATCTTCTCAATCTAAGTTCTGTACTATCCACCTTCTTACCCTACTTATCCTCTATAGGGGGGTCTGTAGCACCCTGGTGGAGTCCTATCCGTCCCGAGTGTGGGGGTTCTCAATGGGGGGGGGGGCCTTACCTAGGGGAATCCTGTTCCAGGGGTTCCCAAAGGTGTGGACAGAGTCGGCGAAGACTATCCACCCTCTCCTACGGTGGAGTCCTATCCATCCCGAGAGTGGGGTGCTTACCTAGGGGTCCCTGTTCGGGCGCCATATGCCGGGGTCCAACCCCAGCGGGTCCAGGGGTCCCCAAAGGTGTGGACGGAGTCGGCAAAGAAGGAATGACATGGAGGCAGCGTTCAGTTGATCAGCAGCCTAGCCAGGATCTCCAGCCAGGATCTCCAGCCAAGTTCTGGTCTGGATCTCCAGAGAGGTTCTGCTTCAGATCTCCAGCCAGGTTCTGTGTCCATGTTCTCTTGCTAGGTTCTCCAGCCAGGTTCAGTCCAGGTTCTCCAGCCAGGTTCAGTCACCAGGTTCTAGTCAGGTTCTCTTGCCCATTTCTGTAGTCAGGTTCAGTCCAGGATCTTTTGCCATGTTCTCTCCAGCGAAGTTCTTCTGTCTCTAGTTCTGTCTCTTGCTGTCTTATTGCATCTGTATTTATACCAGTTGATTCAATCCTATCAATCTCTATTACAAAGGTTAGGGCGTTTCTTATCTTCATTCCAGGGAGTAAAGATTATGTAGCTTAAGCATGATTGTTCCTAGTTAAAGTGATTAATTACCCACCTGGCACTAGTTAAGAGGTTTTATTCCCACCTTAACTTCAGGGGAAAATCCCTACCTGGGGAAACAACCTTTCTCAGAGAGGAGACCTTGGTTAAAACACATAGTGCCAAGAAGGTGAGCAAACATATTAAGAACAGTATGCCATATGTGCCAGGTCCCTTGAAACAGCAAGCATGGACCGGCTCCCGGCAGGCACATACCTTCGTTGTGGGCACATCCCTACTGGGGGGTGTGCAGGAGGCAGCTGATCAAGGTTTCTCTCTCACCGATGTTTCTAACTCTCTGTCCCTCTCCCTTCCTCTCTGTGAAAAATCAATAAAATATATTTAAAAAAATAATTTTCTCTCTCACAGACCTGTTCATCATAGACACTGACATAGATTGGTTCAATGTTTGTATTTGACCCACTTTTGTATTTGAAAATTCCTCATATCCGACTTACACTTCTGCCCTTTATGATCTCACATTTAACTTTTATACCTGAATTTTACACCTTCTATATCCAAAAGTCTCCTAAAATATCTTTTGGCACCTTAAACTTGCTCTTATTTTCTGCCTCAGTAAATGGCACTAGCCTCCACCCATTTCTCCAACCAGAAACTAAGGAGTTATTTTTGACTCCTCTCTTTCTTCTCTAAAGCTAATCAACTAATAAATCCTATCCATTTTTTTTAAAATATATTTTATTGATTTTTTACAGAGAGGAAGGGAGAGATAGAGTCAGAAACATCGATCAGCTGCCTCCTGCACATCTCCCACTGGGGATGTGCCCGCAACCCAGGTACATGCCCTTGACCAGAATCGAACCTGGGACCTTCCAGTCCGCAGGCCAACGCTCTATCCACTGAGCCAAACCGGCTTCGACAAATCCTATCCATTTTATCTCACATATATATATATGTAGTGTGTGTATGTGTGTATATATATATATATATACACACATATATATATATATATAAATTTTTTTAACCATCTCCCATTCTCCATCTGTGTTGCCACCACCATATTCTGAGCCACCACACTGCCCACTTGCTAGCCTCATTTCTCATAGTTTTTCCTCTCACAATATGGGTTCCTATCATTGAATTTTTCCCAATTTCTCAAACATACCATATTTTCTCACCTGAGCCTTCACACTTGTTTCCTCTACCCGGGATTCTTTTTTTCTTCCTCTTTGGCTAGTAGTTACTGCTAAATTTTTGTGACTTATTTAAAACATCACTTCCTTGGAGAGACTTTTGGTGACTTCCTTTACTAGATTTGAGCTTGTGTTCTTGCTCCCACAGTGCCTGCAGTACCCTTGTCACAACCATCATCCCACTTTGTCAGTCTCTCTCCACCAGACAACATCCTGGAAGAACAAGGATTGCTTTTCTTTTTCAACAGTTTCCCTGTGTCTAGCTCAGTGCTCAGGACACAGGAGTATAGTACTTTTCAAATATCAGACTTCTACAAAACTCCTACCTAAAACTTTCTAAGGAAATCTGGCACATAGCAGGTATGTAATACATTTTAACCTAAAAGACTTATAGAATTGTCTATATTTCTAACTTAGGGAATATAAATTTGCTTAGGCAGCTAGTCTAAGCTGTCTGGCTTATTGCCCCATCATTATGGCTAGTTCACCAAATATTTACTAAGTTTCTACTCCATATCAGCATAGAGTTAGGCTCCTTGCACACGAAAAGAGACATATCTGCTCTTAAGGAACTACAAAAGGGAAAGAGATGCATGACACTGTCATATACTAGAGGAAAAAAGCAACTAAATTACGCACTTCTGTAAATTAAAGGTTTAAAACCAGAAAAAGAAGAGAATCAATGGACTAGTGTGGCTGGCTTCTGGCAGTAGAACCAAAGCAATTAGGCTCTGTGAGTCTAGAAAAAACCAAAAAGGGATATGATGAAGTACATACATATTGTCAAGCCCTGGAATTGAACCAAACTATATTCAAAGTTTAAACTATAAAAATGTAGGATAAATTAAAATAATCACAGCTAGCCCTAGCCGGATTGGCTCAGTGGATAGAGCGTTGGCCTGCAGACTGAAGGGTCCCGGGTTAAATTCCAGTCAAGGGCACATGCCTGGCAGCTCAATCCCCAGGAGGGGGCGTGCAGGAGGCAGCCAATCAATGATTTTCTATCATCATCGATGTTTCTATTTCTGTCTTCCTCTCTGAAGTCAATAAAAAATATATTTAAAAAAGGTATTCTTTTTAAAAAATATATATTTTATTGATTTTTTACAGAGAAGAAGGGAGAGGGATAAAGAGTTAGAAACATCGATGAGAGAGAAACATCGATCAGCTGCCTCCTGCACACCCCCTACTGGAGATATTCCCGCAACAAAGGTACATGCCCTTGTCCAGAACTGAACCTGGGACCCTTCAGTCCGCAGGTCAACGCTCTATCCACTGAGCCAAACCGGTTAGGGCAAAAAAAAGATATTCTTTAAAAAAAAAAAATCACCACTAACATTTGTTGAACACGTTTATTGTCAAGCACTATTGTTACCATTACATATTTAATGAATTTAAAAGATGTAATATCTTACCATGTATCAAACTTATGGAATTTATTATCCCCAAAAAGTGACTTAAAATTTTAAAAATAGGGGACTGTCTAGGGCGGGGGGATAAAATGGACACATATGTAATACCCTTTGTAATACTTTAAGCAATAAAAAAAAAAAAAAAAATTTAAAAATAGTTTAGGTGAATTAATGGGTTAGAGAAGCAGAATTAGAAGGATGCTTCTAATTTCAACCTTCTACCCTATGGTTGGGCCCTCCCTACAACACTAAGTGGTCGACTAACAGCCTGATTAATACTTTCCTCAAAGGAAACTCATACTTTATTCCTTACCCTACCCACACCTTGGCACTCAAGAGGAATGTTCTGGCTGCTTCTCTAACTTTCTGAGAGTTTATCAAAGAGGATAATAATAATTATCCATAAAGTGTCAGTCAGAGACACAGGTCTGATTCAGTAACATGGCATTCTTTGGAGAACCATGTTGATATTCTTTAGAGAAGCTAGTTTGGGCTCACTCTATTACTGTAAATACCATATTCCTAGCAAGTAACCCGAAACCAGCTCTTCAGACTACACTGGCTAACTGCAAGGTCATCTCTTTGAGCTGAGTGTAAACTGAAAAACAGCTCTTGTTTATATCAACAAAAACTCCTGAGGCAAGAGAGTGAGTTAGTTGATCCTTTGGGTATTTAATGGAAAGGGCCTTCGAGTATTCATTGTGGAATCACACAACACTTCCTGTAATTCTAGCACACACATAAAGGAAAAATGTCAAATTTATGTGAAAAGTTAAAATTATTTTGTACTTATTCTCAAAGACAAAAAAGACACCTTGAAAGTAAACTCATGACTGCTTACCTAGGCTATTGGAAAACTAAACAAATGACAACTGACTTATTCTGAATGAAATTGTTTTGTCCCGAAAACTAACGTTTAAAACATGGCAAAGGATTAAGGATGAGTGTCACTTGATCACAGGAACATGTGAGTTGGTAACTGATACGAAATAACAGAAATACCAGATATCCTGAAGTTTTCTAGCCCCCAAAAGTATTTATGTGTTGCATACTGTAGTGTAATTTTTGTAGACTGTGTAGTCTAGTCTTAAGAAATTTCCAAGTTAAAATTTGAGGCCAAAATTCCTTGACTTTTTCCCCCCTTTCTTTATTCCTTCTCGTGTACTTAGTAGGTGATCCAGAGTGCTTCCAGATGTAACTGAAGCCAACAGAAAGGCTACACGGGACCACTGTGAGGGAAACAGCCAGAGCAAAGGAAGTTCAGGATAACTCACTGTCATTGGAGATCACCATGTAGGAATGTGAGGAAGCAATCGGATAAAAGCCTTCTAGGAAGTCCCCTACTAGAGTCTAGGGGACTTAGGACAAGACCAAAACAGAGCCCAAACTAACCCAAGGAAGTTGTGTACAAGTTAGCTTTTGGATATACCTGTTGAAATAAATATGAATGGTTCATTAATGAAAGTCATCAAGTCGGTAAACACTGAATACACATAATTGATAAAAGGCTAACAAATTAGGGGAGGCTGTCCAAACACTTAATGAAAAAGTCCTCTGAAAGCACTTCACTAATAACCTTTTGCAGATGCCAGGGGTGGGGGTGGGGGGGAGGGAATAAACCCTCCGTGAAGACTAGAATGATCTACCTGTTCCTCCCTTTCATCTTCCAGGCTGAGAATAAAACCCACTTCTTGGTTCTCCTGAGCAGACATCAAAGCCCCTTTTGTATCTGCTATAACGTGGTTTTGATCTTCATTTCATCTTGAGAGGGCAATGTCGGTCTCCTTCCACTCCTGGGAGAGCCAAGCCTTTCCCTGAGCCTTGGGCTCCACGCGCCTTCACCTGGACCCTCAGGTCAGGTTCCCCCGGGCCAGTTCCCCTGACATTTCAGAAAGTGGGGGGACGCTGAGCTTCTTCCCCTCGAATATCTTCTCTCCGGTCCTCAGAAACCAGGGTTTCCCCATCCCCTGACATCCCCGGGGGCCCCATTCTCCACCTATACGTCCGGAGGTACTCAGACCTCTCATTTCCTCATAGATGTGGGCCCTTCTTATTCCGACTCATTCCTTACTCCGACCGGCCCCACCCCCAGGCCTGTCCACCCGCCTGGGAGGAGCACCCGCAGCCTGCTCTGGACTGAAAGGCCGCGGCTTCCAGCGCGCCCCGCAGGTGAAGCCGGGACCCTCCTTTCCTCAGCAGAACCCCCTGATCCTGCTCTCCCGCCGAGGCGCCCCTCCCGGGCCGGCGGCCAGGCTCCCCCACCTGTCCCCCTCCTGCCACCCCACTCCCAGCACCACACAGGCCTCGCCCAGCTCTTTATCCCAGGGCCTGGTGCTCCCTGGCCCCCGCCTCTGGGGCCACCCCAGGATCCCGGGCCTCCTCGCCAGGGTCCTGGGCGTCCGGTCCCTCTGAGTCCGGAGTCCTCCGGCCCCTCCTGGCCCCTCGGACAAGGACTTCCGGGCCCCTCGGTCCGGAGGCGCCGGGGCCCCCCCAGTGCCGGGTCCGCCGGCCCCCGCCACCCTCGGCCGGGGGCCGAGCTCCGGCGGCGCGGCCGGCCGCGCTGGGGGCGGCCCGGCAGTTCGGGCGGACCCAGCGGCAGCGTCCCCCCACCCCCCCGCGGCGCCGCGACGTCCGCTCGCTCCCCGGCGGCGGCGGCGGCACGCACAGGGCGTGGGGAGGCGCCCGCGGAGGCAGCAGCCCCCCGCCCCCTGTGCGCCCGCCCGCCCTCGCCGGCCGCCGCGCGGCCCCCGCGCCCGCCCCCCCGCCCCCACCCCACCCCGCGCCCGCGCCCGCGCGCCCACCCCTCCCCCTCCTCACCGTCTCCGTCGGGCAGGCGGGCGGCGAGCGGCCAGGGCGGGCGGGCGACAGAGCATGCGCAGAGGCCGCCACGGCTGCTACCGCCACCGCCGCCGCGAGGCCGGACTTCAACACTTCCGGCCGCCGCCGCCAGCGAGCTGGCGCCTTAAAGGGGACGCGTCCCTCTTGTCGAGCCCGCGGAAGACGAACCTCAGCTGGAGGGGTTTGAGTGAGGCTTTACCACTGAGCAGGGTCTTCTCTGGAAAGTCCGTGCTGGGAAGGACGCCAGGGACCCCGATAACTGTTCTTCCCCCATTTCATGGATGAGGAAAATTAAAGAATCACTGTCGGGGCCAAAGACAGGTCTCTCCACTCCTCTGGAGGACCTTGCCCCCTTTACCTCCCAAATCCTGTTCCGAAGCTTACATCTTACTAGACCCCCAGAAGTTATGAGCCAGCTGTGAATTTGGAATCAAAAGGTCTGGTCACGAGTCCTTGAGCAAGCTGCTTGCTGCATTCTCTGACCTACGCATGTTTGCTAAGCTTTCCTGGTTGTGAGGTGGTACTAGGTTCAAGTATTAACTTCTTTGTGCGAGTTATTTAACAGCTCAAAACCTCTATTTTACATAAGGCTTAAGGTTGTTGTGAGTGTTAAAAGAGATGATACGCATGATCTCATATGTGGAATGTAATTAACAAAATAAACTGATGAACGGCGCGGGTCCAGAGACGGAGGCATGGGACAGAGTGTGGAGGGAGGGGAGGAGAATTGCTTCCCATCTCGCCTCTTCCTGTGCATCACACCTCTGCCCTCCATCCCCTTTGTCTTGAAGGGGTGACAGGGAGTTTTACAAGTTCTTGATTCAAGAACAAGGGAGGCAGCCCAGGAGTAAGCAATAGAACTGAATTGGGGTGCGGGGGAGGTCAGACAAGCTGGATTCTAGACTTGGCTATAGCAGCTCTCTTAAGCCTTGATTTCTCTTTTTTTCTTTCTTTTTTATATTTTTATTGATTTCAGAGAGGAAGGGAGAGGGAAAGAGATAGAAACATCAATGATGAGAGAGAATCATTGATTGGCTGCCTCCTGCTCGCCCCCTACTGGGGATCAAGCCCGCAACCCGGCATGTGCCCTGTAGGTCGACGCTCTATCCACTGAGCCAAACCAGCCAGGGCCAGTCTTGATTTCTTAATCTATAAAATAGAGATGATTTTTCCCACTGTGCCCACCTCTCAGTGCTGTTTCCAGGATCAAATGAGGAGACTTAGGACCCATGTTCGTGTCTGTTGTTATGATCAAGGACTTACACATTAGCAGATGATTCTGAATGTAATGGGGGCTGGTCAGGCCTGGACTGTTGACCTATGTGAACTATTCTTAGTGGGGCCATTTATATATTTTGATTATGTATTCAACACTCATTGAACATTTACGCAAACCTTGTCCCTGCTTTCATAAGCTCTTAGTTCACCTTCTGCAGACAGAATTGTAAACAGACAGGACAGGACAGTGTGATAGGTGTTACCCTGAGTTACAAAGAAAGCACTGAAAATCTATAAAGGACCCTTCCTGGAGAACTGGAAGGCTTCACAGAGAAGGGGATATTTGAACCTGGTCTCCAGAATGAGGAGGACTTCATCACAGGGAAAAGTGAGGAAGAGCATTCAAAAAAGTACACGAGCAGAGACAAAGAAGTAGGAAATGATGGGAGATGGGACTGAAGAGGGTGGCTGGAACCAGATGGTTGGCATAAGGAGTCTGGAGCTATCCTGAAGAGGGGGGAGGCCCAAGGGAGGTTTAAGTCCTCTCCAGCTGCACTGCTAACACCCAGCTGCAGCCCCCAGGACTTGCCTGGACCGCTGCAGCAATTTCCCAGTACTTAGCGACCCTATCCACCCTATCCCCAATTGCTATTCACCCTAGGCACCTAGAGTAATCCCTTAAAGAAGTACAGTTAAATGTGACATTCCTGTTAAAAACTTTTTAATAACCTCCCATTGCACTTGGAATAAAACGCAGACTCCCCTCGAGGGCCCCATGCATGATCTTCCTGCTGCTTCTGTATCCCTCACTCACTGTGCCTTCCCTGACTCCCAACTGATAGTAGGGTTCCCAGCCACATTCTTCTCTATCGTCGCTGCCCCTTTTTCGATCAGGGCACCTGTTATGTTCATTTGGTGGATTATTTCCGGGTGAAGACCACATCTGAGAACTCTCCTCCCCAAGCCCTAGTTACTGACTCAATCCCTCTGCTTAGCTTCATAGCAATTCCCATAATTTGAAATTCCCTAGATGATTTACTTATCTAGTTTGTGTCTTTTGTTTACATCACATAGCATTTGGAGCAGAGTGTAGTGTGCAGCTAATATTGATTGATCGGATGAATGATCAGAAAAAATTATAAGATATGGAGTCGTTAGGAGAAAGACCAGGAAAAGAAAGCTGTGGGGAACTGCTATGATCATCCAGGCCAAAGAGAAGAAGGGCCTCATGCAGGGCAGAGCCAGAGGGAACACAGCAGCCTTGATATGGAAGCAACAGGTGTTAGTGACAATGGAATGTAGGGGGTGAGAAAGAGAAAGGGACAAGAATGATCACAGGAAGAGTTGGTTGGGGATTGAGGGGAAAAAGAAATGATGGGTCCATTTAGACTTGTCTGAGGGGTTTGAGGGACATCCAAATGAAGGTGTTCAGAGGAAGTTGGATTGACTTGTCCCCAGCAAGAGGCCAGTGCTGGGATTTGAGATGGAACCACAGAGGACAAGAGTGGATGAGGTCACCCAGCTGGCAAGGCTCAGTTGAGCGGCGACCTATGAACCAGGAGGTCACGGATCAATTCTGAAATCAATTAAAAAAAGACATCCAGGCCCCCTTAGGGAGGAAGAGAGAGAGAGAAACATCAAGGATGAGAGAGAATCATTGACTGGCTGCCTCCTGCAGGCCCCACACTGGGGATCAAGCCCACAACCCGAGCATGTGCCCTGACTGGGAATCAAACCGTGACCTCCTGGTTCATAGGTCAATGCTCAACCACTGAGCCATGCTGGTCGGGCCATTTTTAAATTTTTAATCCTCACCTGGGGATATGTTGTTATTGTTTTTAGAGAAAGGAAGAAGAGAGAGAGAAAAACATCTATGTGAAAGAGAAATATTGATCGTTGCCTCCTTTATGCACCCTGATCAGAAGAGAAACCCGAAACCTAGGTATGTGCCCTAACTGGAAATCAAACGTGCATCCTTTTGATATATGGGATGCCGCTCCAACCAACAGAGTCACCCAGCCAGGGCTGCCATGCCATTTTAAACTCATTTAACAATGGTATGAAACTAGAAGTCAATCACAAGAAAAAATGAAAACACACATACTTTATTTAATCCCAAAAGGTAGTACTAGCAGTGTCCCCGTCCCACAGATAGGAAAATAGCTTGCATGGCTGGTAAGTACTATGGCCTAGTCATTCTGATTCCCTGAGACCAGCTGCTCATCAGGTTAAAGGGAAAAGAAACTAATATTGCGTGAGCCCCTTCTCTGTGTCTGCCACCGTGCTAGGAGCGTACCCATAGATGAAATTCCAGGTGGAGAATTTGCTTTCTGGGAAGGGTGTGTTATCCCCATTTTTCGGAAGAGGCAAGACAGGCTCAGTGAAATTAAGTGGCACACCTGCGTTACATGGCTGACGAGCCGCAGAGCTGCCACTCCCAGTGGGGTTGTCCAACGTCAAGGCTCTGGGCCAGGTCAATTTTTTCCTTTTCTAGGGTGCCACCTTCTGCCCAGGCCAGAGTTTGAAACTCCAGTGCTGCCCAGACCAGGCCTTGAATGAAATCTGCAGCAGTCCTGCTGGGGTCAGACCAGCCATGGGGTTCATGCCCCATCTGGAGGGGCGGTAGCTCCTGCCAGCCTGCCATGGCCTTCTTCGGATGTTGGTCGGCCTACTTGGCCAGAGCATCCAATTTGAAGAGGAGGTAGAAATCACGAGTTTGTTTAATTGGTTGATAAACAATTTAAAAAACCCCACAAAACTTCAAGCATCTCTGGGCTGTCCATTATCCATCTATGAAGAAGGGTGGCCTATGGCTTCTCAGGTGGCAGCCTCTGGTCTCTCCAGGTATCTACCTCTAACCTGGAACAGTGTTGCCAGCTGCCTGGCCAGCCACTGGTTCTGCAAACTCAACATGTCCACAACTGAATTCATAATTTCTCTCCCTACCTTTCCTTCGATTCCCTCCAACCACCAAACCTGCTTCTCCTCTTGTCTCTTCCACCTCAGAGACTGCCACCTTCATCCCTAAGTCATCTCCCAAGAACCCCCTAACACCACCTCCTCTCTGAATCCCCACTTGATCTGGGCCACCATCACTGCCTGCCTGTTACCTTAGAGGCAGAATTTCCTAATTGGTCTCCCCACTTCCTGTCATTCTGCCTTCCAGTCTTCATTCTTTTTGTTGTTGTTGTTCTTTTTTTGTTCTTTTTA